GTGGAGGATGACGCCACCTCGCCTCCGACAATGTTGGGTCATTACCCAGACTCAGACCCTCGACGTCGAGATTTGTTCATAACGTGGATCCCCAGAGTTCTAACCCTTCCCCGAGACGAGCCTTTCGTCGTGAGTCGTTGTTCGACGGTCCCGAGGCCCGGTAAAGGCCCCCAGAGGCCGAACACAGCGAGAGACCGTCGTCGCGTTTTTTCTCACAACGCCAGGCGGTCTGGGTACGCAACAACACCAGAACAGCACCAAACAAACGAAATCATTGGCCGATGGTGATCGTTTTCTGATTCGTTGTTTTGCCGATCAGCGCATGCCCTCGCCCCCCCTCCCCCCCCAATGGAGTAGACCTTGGCTGTTCTGGGGCACTGGTTTCGAGCAGGTGGAGCCTCCCCCATGGCACGCACTGCTGCACAACGTTGCAGCAGGCAGAGGTCCAGAGCCAGCCCCCCCCCCCTCCCCTGCCCCCCTTCTTCCGCCCCATGCCGAAACGCCGAAATTGAGAAAACGGTCACACGGCGTGCGTCGGCGGCGCGCCTGGAAGACCCGAGGGGGGAAAAGGTTCAGTCGGGCGTGTCCCCCTACAGGCGCATTTTGGGCCAGACATGAAAAATACTTCAACAACACCCCCAAATGTGCAAAAATCGTTAAAACAGAAAAATCGTCCCCAGCAGATGTTTCCCCTATTTGGGGCTACTCCTCCTGCAGAGGGACACGCCCGACTTAGAGTACAGGCGCGGCCGCAAGAAACCCTCGCAAGAAGCCCAAGCCTGAGAATCCGTGCGCGAGGTGCACCTGAGGGGAAACCCGGAGCACCCTGAACGTAGCAGCTCCTTCAACGGCTGCGGGAAGTCACCGCGCAGCGCGAGGAGCGGAGAAACCCAGGATACCCTGACGAATAACAGATGGTTTCTTGATGCGCGCCCCCACTGTAAGGAAAGGGCGGGGGCTGCGCGCAGGAGGCTCGGGAGGCCTCTGTCCTCCGTGGCCCCCTGGCGGAGCGCCCTGCCTCTGTCGGCATCTGGCTCGCCTCGGAGGGCCTCTCCTCGGCTCGGGGGTGGACAGACCTCCTACCCTGACACGTCGACTAGCGAATTGGCCGTTTTCGGTTCGCGAGAGGGCCTCGAGGCCGTCATCTTTGGGGGTCCAGGTCCGTCGGTTTCGGTCCCAGGCCGCTTTCACTAAGGGGAGGTTTACGACATGGAGGTGTGTCCACCGCCGATCGGCTCGGCCTCCCGGCCGCTGGCGCTCAGAAGTCTGAGCTCCTGTTGGGCCTGTCCCTCCACAGGAGGAGTGCTCCACAAACAGGGTCAACAAAAATCGTCTGGAGACGCTCATGTGTGGCATCTTCTGGCTATTCTGGAGTATTGTTTGAGTTTTTTTGTTATATATCTGTATATATATATATATATAACAAAAACAAAAAACAAAAACTAAAACAAAACGCCCATATCCACCTGTAGGGGGGACACGCTATCCGCCCGTAGGGGGGACACGCCGGACCCGCGTCCGGGCCTGGAAGGGCGGGGTCCGAGCAGGCGGGGTCGCAGGCTCCCGCCGCACCGCCGCTGCAGCGGCCCTCGCCGCTGCGGCTCGATGAGGGGCCCGCGGTTTTTCAAGGGCTCCCACGAGGGCGCCAAGTTATTCACGCTTCGCGGTCCTCGTTCCTTCTCGGGGGCGGAAAAGAGGGGGGTGATGACTATGGGGGGGTGGATATCATGGCGGGGGCCATGATATTTACCCAGATTTCATGGCGCCTCTTCTTATTTCATTACGTCCCTGGCCCCCAAACTGGGCCGCGCACATGCCGCTGGTCATGATTTGCACCCCCCCCTCTTGGACACCCCCCTCTTGGCCGCTCCCGACCTTCTCCCCCTCCTCCTCGTCCTCCTCTTCTCCCTTTTTGGGGGGCGGCGTGAGAGCGCGAGGTGTTTTCTCCACGCCGACGTCGCCGATGCGTCGCCCGCGTCGACGATGCATCGCCGACACATCGCCGACACATCGCCGGCGTGTCGCCGATGCGGCGCAATCCTCCGACCCCGTTTATTCCGACCCCGTCCAGGAGGCCTCGAATACAGTCGGGGCCCTGAAGAAGGAACCCTTTTTGTTGGGGAGGGGCTCCGCGTTCCTTAAGTGTTTCAAAGCTTGCCTCAGGCTTTCCTTATGTTTTCGACAGGAAATCGAAGGTTAACTTATGGAAAAAAAGGGCCTCGTTCCTTATTCAGGGTTCCTTAGGTCAACGCCCCGACTGTAAGGCCCCTCTCGGCCTCGGGGCCTCCGAGAAGCTGTCTGCCTCTGGCCTCGGAGCAGCTCCTCGGAAGGCGTGCCCGCGGCCAGTGCGGCGCAAGTGCGGCCCCAGGGCCCTGGTGGCTCGTGCCTGTGTGCAGCCAAGGGGCCGACTCGACTGCCCCCACCTTCGGTGATGGGCCTGTTTCCCACCGCCACCACCATGAGTCTGTGTGGGGAGGGAGGAGGAGGAGGAGGAGGAGGA